TTCAAAGCCAGAAAAATCAATTTTGGTACCAACTGAGCCAGGGAAAAATTTCTTGCATTTTGAACAGCCTATATTTGATCCATGGCCAGTAAATCCACAAACCTTTCTCACTGCTGGGATGTCGCAGCCAACACAAAGAAGAGCAGCATGGAATTTGGCAATTGTAGTTGACCCATGTGCCTTGACACTTATGCCATCTTTCCACAGCACATTCAGTTCAGCTACGAGGGGCTGTAAGTATGAATTAATGTTGTGTTTTGGTTCATGGGGCCCAGGGATCACACCAACTAAGAAAACATTTTCTGGTTTGAACCTCTCAGCCCTGGGGAGGTTCATCAGAACCATATAGAGCACTCCAACACTATACACTGAATGCTTGAAAGGCTGGAACCAGTCAACATTGAGCATAAATGCATAGTTCCTCTGTGCTGCCAAAAATGCTTTCCCATCCACGTTCTGCCATTCCTTCCAGATACGTCCATCAAAGATATCTGCAAGGAATCCATCAGGGATACCCCTGCTTCGCCATAATTCACATTTATCGACAAATCCTGGCCTTTGAAGGAATTGACAGAGATTGTCAATGATGCTGTTATAACAGTACACTTTGTGTGGGTAAAGCTTAGTCCCCCCACTCTTTAAGGAAACTTCTTTTAAAAGTGGTTCACCACACTTGGTACGGCGGAAATGTTGCCGATGGTTTGGAAACTGAACAAAAGTACACTTCTTGGTGACTTTTCGACCGTAAACCAGTTCATAGCAGTCATCAAAATTGTACAAAGTGTGACACTTTGGGCACACAATGTATTTAATAAATCTGTCTTTGTCCAGTCCCAGTTGCTTGCGTAGTAAATGGACTGACTTTGGGAACAGCACAGCAAAACTTGCAACAACTGGAAAGTTGGGAATCAAACATTGCCCTCAAAAAAAGCCAATGCATTGTCAGATAATGAAGAAAATGAAGACCAAAGGCACAGGAAAATCAGCAACCAACGAAGAAGATGCTTGAAACTTCCATTTATTCTGGATGTGTTGTTAACATCCACAGTGCCCTGATTTTGGGGGATCTGTATCAACATCCTCACCAGAAATCATTCTTTGACAAAATGTCATTCTCTGAAAATACAGTCAAGCACCATCCAAACCTGATTAACTTACACCATCCCAGATAGCAGTTGGTGTGCTGCTGTTACAGGAACAACTTACAGTAAAATACAAAGGCACACTATGTTTTCTCAAATATCAAATCCACTTTAAACATAGTTTGTTTCTCAAAATTCTTTGTTTGCCCTTATATGATGAAAATAAATACCTATAAAATTAACTGGATAATTGTTAAATAATGTATTTCAAATTTGAAATTTAAGTGAGCATAAATTTTGAAGTGTATCTATAGAGCATTAACACCCTTACTGGTTATAATAATACTGTGGCAATATTTCACATTAGTTTGCTAGTTTTAAATATTTCTTTCTGTTTCATTCAGAATAAGAAGCAAAGAAAATTTATTCTGTGCTACTTTTAGCTACAATGCATTGCCTTGTTTACTATTGACTGAGCCCTAGTCGTAAATGGGAAACCCCCGTTTTATAGTAACTCTACAAAAAGCAAGGTGTGATTCTGAAAATGACAGTTAGGCAATCCTGTTTGATTCCAGTAACCTGTCTCACTAGAATGTGCATCAAAGTAGCGTTAGCCTATACATACAATGATAATTTTATACCTGGTTCAGAAACGCTGCCTCCATCACAACTTGCCATTGCGACTGGTCTTTGAATGCAAACATCGTGCAACTGGTTCACTTCTTCGGCACACATGTCAACATCTGCAGGATCGCTTCTTTCCTCATCTGAAGACTCTTCTTGAATCTGTCGAATGTTCCATTGACCACTTTCTTTGTTGTAGTAAAGATCTAGATGCTGCCTATACGTTCTCGTAGAGACGAAGTCTTGGCAATGCTCGCAGAATTTTCGTTTAGTCGACGACATTGATCGCCAAGAAAAAGAAACTCATGAGCCGTTTAACTGTTTATGTGCAGCGAAATAAAAAACCAATCCAATAATTTTTTTTCTGTAACGATGAACTTGGGCTCTCCGCTCAGCAGGAGAAAGACTGTGCATGCGCTTGCAACAAATAGGAGCAGAGACTGGACAGAGACAGCAGGGATTCAAGCAGAGAGCTGAATGGACCAGTAATAACATCAAATGATCTTCAAAGTAGTTAATAAACAGCTACGACGAGATGATGAATTGCGTTTGAACTTTAGGCGGGATAGTTCTTCGCTTTTCGTCTCGAAGTCCATGGCAAGGCAGATCCCGAGTAAATCAAAACACCGTATCATGGCAGAGAAACCAGCAAGACGTTCCAGAAGCTCTACCACTCGCACTACTACCACTAGTTCCACCAGAAGCTCGAACACTCGTGGTACTACCACTAGTTCCACCAGAACTTCGACCACACCGATCGTTTCACACGGCGTGCAAGCTCGTGGTCGCCTAGAACATCAAGAGGATAACTCGGCAGTCGAGTCGCTGCCAAGAGTTCTAGATGGATTAGGCAGTTTACAAGGATCGATTGAAACTTCTCTGGAATCTACTTCTCTGGAATCCACAGTATCCACCCCTTTGGTGCCGGCCGTCATACCGACGCCAAGAAGAACGTCGACTCCAACAGTATCTCGGGTCCTGGAGCCGCTTTACAGAACCCCGGTTGAAACTGCCAACGATAGTGGGAGCCAAGTTATGGAGCAGTTGCAGGCGTTTTTCGCTAGACAAGGGGATTTTAACAGAAGATTGGAGGAACGGCTCGAGGGACACTTGCAGGGCCAAGGGCGGGAAAACAGACCAACAGCGCAAGCGACGCGGTTTTCGAAGGCGCTTTCAGTAAGTCACCTCTCTTCATAGATTAAGCTTAAGGATAATTAATTTTTCTATTTTTTCCCGCTTTTTTCTCCTTCAGCGACGATGAAAGTCAAAGTCCCAGTATACAATCCCATGTACCTGTAGAGGGTAAATGTACCCACCTCACAGGGAAAAACGGATCAAAGTCCAAGGGTCCATTCTCACCACAAAACTACTATCCTTTGTTTGGAGTTAGACTACACAGTGTTTATTGTTGATGGATGTCTTTCAAAACAAATGTGAACACCATGTTATTACTCTTGATCATTTTTAATATATGTAATAGTAATCCATTGAAAATCCCCAAATGATTATACTAGTTTTGATCTAGAAGGTTTCAAGAGGCCATTTCTGAGTTACAGTGCTTGATCTTGGACAAAGACAGTGTCGGACAATAAAACCACCAAAATTTTTAGGGGTTCAAAATATTGACAGTAGAGTGTAAAACTTATAGTATGTACTTTCTTGGGTGAGGCCATTGCATGTATTCAAGGCTGATAAACCTGATAGAGAAAGAGCTCGGACTAGGCTTTACTAATTCTTTTGTCACTGGAAAGGAAATTTTTTTTTCTGAAAAACATAATTTGGGTTAATTCCATTTTGCAGATGTACTATCATTTTTACAGATCTTGTTTCAGACTTATTTGTGTTTTAAAGGCATAAATTTACTGAAGCTATATTCAGCAAAGTGTCTGAAATTTTTTAACTTGCTAACTATTTTTTCAAGGCCCACATCAGGGATGTCTATTCCACTCTGACTAGTGAAGATGGTAAAGATCTTAAATGGGATCTATCCAAAAGGTCAGCTTTAATTTCTCTTAATTTTTTTCAGAATGGGAAGCTAATGTCAATTGAGAGACCAAAATGATGTTTTCATTGTGGTTATAAAGACATTGTATGTTCCACAACAAACAGTCTTAGTAGAGTTAGTTTGACATAAATACTGGACTACTTAAAAGTGTAAGGGAGGTAGTCACATAAAAAAGGGTTCAATGTTGACTTTCCTTGTCAAATATTGTGGACTCTCACAGGCATGTACCACTCAGAGGGTTTAAAAGAGAATTAAGATGACAACACAGTTCTAATTCAGCTTTGATTTGTATTTAGCTTTTCTCATGAAGATAACAGAGCTGTTAATGCAGCAATAATAAATGGAGTCAGAAGTACGGATACTTCCACACCATCAAATGTCATAAGAGGTAAGTGTTTTCAGCTAAAGTGACCAAAGTTGGGTTCAGTAGATCAAATGTATCTGCAATAAACTCTGCATCAAAGGATATAAAAGGAAAGCTATAGTTAAGATTAATTGTTCAATTCTGTTTTTTTTTATGTACTTCCTTCCTTCCTTTCTTTCTTTCTTTTTTTATCTTTCAGGTGATGCTAACAATTTACATATAATTATACATATTTGATTGTAAAATTGCCACATTCTCTCCTTGTTTTCCTTAATGTTGAATATCTAGCCTGCTAGCAGAAATCTCTTCTTTTTCTGTTGGAAAGAGAGTAGGAGACACCTGCTCACTAGCCATGAATATCCTTCCCTAGTATATATATCACACAAATGAAGAATACTTTGTATACACTGAGTGGCTAACTTGGAGGTGAAAAGCCTTTGCATTTTACCTCTGAGTAAAAACAAAATGGTGTAAAGCAGTGATCACCACTTGTTTTTCTCAATTTGTCAGAAAATTAAATATTTATTAGTGGCTGGTTATTCACTTGCAAAATGTTAACTGTTTTTGTTCATGACAGCTGCCATGAGGGTGCATTTCAAGACCAAAAAAAGACATAAAAAAAACAAAGACACCAACAGACAAGTAGAAGTGCTCCAAGACCAGCGCATTAGGAGTAGGAAGAATACAGTAAGTTTTTAGTTACTTGATAATTTCATTACACAGCTTGAAACAATCCTACTCTAAACTCAAAATTTTACGCCTACCAGTACTACATAACTAATGTAAAATTTATGTTTGGTACAGAAACGTTTGAAACGCTGCAAAGCTCTATTCCAATCTACATCTATTGGGGAAGAGGAAAAAGAGAAATACCACTTGTGCCTCTCATCTGCAGATTACATGTCCTCAGAACATTCAATGTCTGAGGACAACAGTGCTGGGAACAGCAGTTCTGAGGACGAAGCCCCCTCAAAACAAAAGGTGCTATGTAGGAGGCCCCTTATGTGGCGGAGCAGTGAGCTAAACTCTCTGTTTAGCCGATTAGATCGAAAGAGTGCGAGAAAGCGGTCACAGAGGAGTGCCTCTATGATGATTGAGAGGAAAGATGGCCCTCCATCTACTCGAGAGGCACCAGAAGATGCTCCAGCATTTGCTTTGTCATAAACGAAATTTGATTACTATACATTTTAGATACAAAAGAAAAGGTTTTGCTTACCAGTATTGCAACAGCATGACTTACAGAAGTTCAAAAGTAAAAGACTCACTGAGTTTGGCCATTTGTTCACTGTTCTTATGTTAGACATGTATCTAGAATGTAGTATTGATATGAATATTGCAATCAACAATCCATCACTGAGGTGAAAAAAAAGCGTGCCAAAACAAGTTTTAGAAACTTTAGAGTGTTCTTTACTTAAATGGTGGTTTCCTAACAACAAGGCAAATACTGGAGCATCTTGTGGTTTTCAGGAATATCATTTGTAAAATATTTAGTTGAGGTTTAGGCACTTATGCTTTAAATGTGTGGCAGAAATTTTCATGAAGCTCATTTGGTTTCTTTTTTTGTTACTGTTCAGTGTAGCTTTCAAACATTTTTATCCGCTTTTCAATTTTTTTAGAACTTGTAGAAAGTAATTTCGAAAATATCAGAGAATGCCATCATAGATATTGTTACAGTTAAAAATTTAAATGATAAAAATAATGTGGTATGATAGCATGCATAAATACTCAATTTACTTTCTTACATACAGCTTGGAGTAAATATTGGAAAAAAAGTAATATATGCATAAGTGATGTCAAGTTATGTTTTTGTGGTCCAATTGAACAAAGACAAATAAACTATTTAAAAAGTAATTGACTGGTTAGTTCTAAAACCTAATATATAGATCTATACTATTTATAAAAGTGGTTCTAAATATTCTGTTAACCCCAGTAAGCTGAAGTTGACACTCCCTTATAAGCAAAGTTAGATGTTTGTTCTCATTTGCTTATCTCAGCAAACCTATTCGGTACTGAGAATTTGATCATGTTTGCTATACAGAGCGAAGTTGGTCAATGCTTTTTTGGTCAAGAGTTTGCTCACATTTACCATACCAAGCAAACTGGGTCAAACTTTTGATTTTGTCAACATTTTATTATCTGAGCAAACTTATTCAATACTAACAATTTGATCATATTTGCCATACGGAGCAAACTTGCTCAATAGCAAGAATTTGCCAGCAATTACCTGCTTATGCAAACCTCATCAATTCTACGAGTTTGATCATGTTTGCTGATCCAAATAAACACTCCAAAATTACGCTTTTGAGCACATTTACAGCGTTTTGTGAACTTGCTGGTAATCATAAGTTTGCATGATTTTACATCGGAAGCAAACGTGGCGCAAAAAAAGAGATCTGCTCATAAATTTGCCTCGTATGTAAACAGGCATCAAATAAACACATTTACATCCACATTTGCCCCATGGGCAAATGAAACGAAAATTCATAGCTGCACAATACTTTTGTGCAAGAGTGGAAATCTTTGACAAATGTGGCATTTACCATCTTTGCTACGGGTAACAAATGTGGTGTAAAATCGATCTTTGTTCTTTGGCAAACTGAGGCAAATATGTACAAATGTGGTATTTACTTCAGTTTTGCTATAGATTTGCTACCAACGTAAATCCATTTTTTCGTCCAGTGTTAATAAGATCTTAGTAAGATCTTCATCTTAATTGCCATCTTATAAGATTCTTACAAGATCTTCCAAGATCTTAATAAGATTTCCACCTCGGAAGTTTGTATAAATGGTTTCCATATAAGAACTCGTGATAAGAAATTGACGTTCTCCTTAGTTGGGGTATTTTAGGGTAACGTGACTCCCAGAAAATCAACGCTAACTGGAGGCCTGGATAATTTCTCTCCAATTTAACCCTTGAATTCCCATGAGTAACCAAGACAGTATTTCTCCTTACAAAATTAATACAATATCAACCAGATAAGCGATGAGAATAACGAAAAACATCAATTTGGGAATAATTTGCTGATCCAATACTAAATTCTCTGAACTAATATTGTAAGAATTGTATACAAGCGGACAAGCGACGAGAATAAAGAAAAATATCAATTAGAGAATTGTTAATTGATCCAATACTAAATCCTCAGAACTAACATCATAAGAATTGTATGACAGACAGTAAGGAGAATTACCAATGATATCTTGGCAGTGAAAGGGTTAAGAAACAGAAATTGCTGACACAACAGAAGACAGTATTTGAGGAACTCGGCCCTTAACGTTAAGGAAGGGAAACTTTCAACTCTGAGGTATGTTCACAAGGTTTTTGAAACCGGCAGATCTTCGTCAGATGTACAGTAGAACTCAGAACTTTCGGGTCAAAATCTGGTATGGATCGATAATTCAAGGCGAAAATACCGGTGATTAAGTACGAAAATATTCCATACACGACTTTGAGAATTTAAAAAGTAACTAGATATTTAAAGTTATGTATAGGACAAGAAGTGCAAAAAGTGTACTTTTGTGATCAAAGCGCACTGATCAGAAAGTTCTAGACCTCAAGATTCCAGTTGACAATTTGACTCCCAAAAATGAGAGCTCCAACAGCAGTTTGACATAAGTAATCTGACCAAAAAATCACTACTTGGGGTCTAGAACATGTCAAAAACATCTATACTAAAATTATTGCATATATTGACCCGCTTATAAATACCTAAACCTCTGATGATGATAATAATAATTAATAATTACAATAATAATGACAATTAATGAAAATAATAATAATAACACTATTAACAGTGCGTATGATATATTTCTCTATTCTCAATTTGCTTACAAATTTTAGATAAAATTAATTCAAACAAATTGGAAATAAACATGGTAACTAAACATCAACACAGTTTTTAAGAACCCCAACTAGAAAAAGGCAGATAAATTGGCTTTAAAAAGAGTAAAGCCAACGAGTGGAACTCAGTGCAACTGAAAACAAATCCAGTGAGTAGCAAAGTGGAGAACTACAACCTGGGACCACCGCATTACAGGTCAAGTGCCCTAAGCAGCTGGCCAGTGCCCTAAGGACTCAGCCACTCTGCCTACTCCTTGGGTCTTTCCTAATGGTGTGCATTTACATAAAAATGTACCTGTAATTTTCAGATTCATCTTTAATTTGAAGCTGCTGTGCTGCGGTACATGGGATGGAGGCTGCTTTGGTCCCAAAATTCATTGCCACTGCAAGTTTACAGTTGTCAACAATGATGATGCCAGTCTAAACAAAGAAAAAAAAATGATTTACTGGGTAAAAATCATTTCGGAAAAGGGTCACTAATCCTTGTATGTACTAAATTTTTTCAATATAATAGAGTGAAGACTAACTCTGGGATACTGGATTTTAACAGGGGGTTAACCCTTTAACTGCCATGAGTGACCAAGACAGAATTTCTCCTTACAATATCAATACAATATCAAGCAGACAAGTGATGAGAATAGGAAAAATTTTAATTAGGGATTATTACTTGATCCATTACCAAATTCCCCAAACTAACTTCAGAAGTACTATATGGCAGACAGTAAGGAGAATTGTTAATGAGATCTTGGGAGTTAAAGGGTTACAGGTAAAGGTGAAAGGGTCAAAGGGTAAAAACCCTTAAATCCCTCCAATATATGTACAAACAAATTGGAAGTAAACATAGTAAATAAACATCAACACAGTTTTTAAGAACCCCAACTAGTAAAAGGCAGCCAAACAGAGCAAAGTCAGCGAGTGAAACTCAGGGCAACTGAAAACAAATCCAGTAAGTAGCTGAGTGGAGAACTACAACCTGGGACCACCAGATTACAAGTCCAGCGCCCTTGGCCAGTCCCGTTAGCACTTGGCAAGTGCCCTAAGCACCTGGCCAGCACCCTAAGCACCTGGCCAGCACCCTAAGCACCTAGCAATTGCCCTAAGCACCTGGCCGGCACCCTAAGCACCTGGGCAGCACCCTAAGCACCTTGCCAGCACCCTAAGCACCTGACCAGCACCCTAAGCATCTGGCCAGCGCCCTTAGCACTCAGCCACTCTGCCTCTCTGATGGCGTGAATTCACATAAAAATGTACCTGTAATTTTCCAATTCATCTTTAATTTGAAGTTGCTGTGCTGCGGCATATGGGAAGAAGGCTGCTTTGGTCCCAAAATTCACTGCCACTGCAAGTTTACAGTTGTCAACAATGACAATGCCAGTCTGAAAAAAGAAAAAAAATATTTACTGGGTAAAAAACACTTCAAAAAAGGATTACTTATCCTTGTACGTATAAAATTAAATCAATATAAAGTGAAGACTAACTCTGAGATCATCAAAGTAAAACACAAGATAACTTGGGATACTGGATTGTAACAGGGGGTTAACCCTTTAACTCCCATGAGTGACCAAGACAGAATTTCTCCTTACAATATCAATACAATATCAAGCAGACACATGATGAAAAAAAAAAAACCTTAATTAGGATTACTTGATCCATTACCAAATTCCCCAAACTAACTTCTAAAGAACTATATGGCAGACAGTAAGGAGAATTATTAATGAGATCTTGGGAGTTAAAGGGTTACAGGTAAAGGTGAAAGTGTTGTTTGCTGAAAGGGTCAAATCCCTCCAATATATGTACATAGCAGTTTACCCTTTAACTCCTAAGATGTGATTGTTAATTCTCCCCTCTTGCTGCTACACATTCCCTTTTAAATTACAGTTGTAGTTACAAGGATTTGGTGTTAGATCAAGAAGACAACTGTAACTGATAAGTCTGAGTATTCTTATTACCTGTTTGCAGAATTATGTATGGATACCATAGGGAGAAGTTACATGTTAATCACTTCTAATAATTATGTATGGATACCATAGGGAGA